ATGTATTTGGTTGTTGCAGGGTCTCACTGTGCAGCTCAGACTTGTGGTGATCCTATTGCTTTCAGCCTCCCCACTGCTAGGATTGTAGGTGTGCACCACCAGTGTCAGACTCTGGCTGGCTCAGCCTGCCCTGGGGGTGGGGCTGGCATGGCATGTGGTGCCAGGGATTGAACTGAGGTCCCTGTGCTTGCCTAAGTGTGCCTAAGCAGGTGTTTTAGTCCACTGAGCTCTCTTGCCAGCCCCTCTAGCCCTTATTTGTATATACTAGCTGGGTGGAACAAATGAGGTATTCCAAGTTTGAACCTAGTAGGTTTAATAGTTAGCTGTGAAACCCATCTCTGATCTACCAGTGAGATAGCAGCACCTCTCCAGGAATGTCATGTATGTCACAGGTCACATCATCAGTAGCCTAGAACCAAACATTTAGAAACCAATCAGTGCTTTTTTTTCCCCATAATTTTATTGAGAAACAAATAGCAATGAGACAGTTTCAAGCCAAACTGGTAGGACAGTTTCAATAATTAACAAAAATGGCAGAAGGATTTTTTTTTTTTTTGCTCTGAATGCCTTCAGGGCAGGTTTGGCTGGCTTGAGTTGTGGGGATCAAACCACAGCAAGCTGAGCCTGACTGCTTTGTTGAAGCAGCCACTTAAAGAACTGAGCTACAGGGCAGGTCCCCATCAGTGCTTTCTAAATGCATTCACTATTAGAATTATTTGGAAGGAGTCTAAGAAAAATACAGATGCCTTGACACGAAGCTACTGTGTTAGCACCTTCATGGCAGACCTCAAACTCTAGGAGGTAAGTTTGATCATCAGCGTGCAAAGTTCTGCAAAACTGCTGGTTTCATGGGTTCTCTGGAGTACTCCAGGTGCTCTGTTGGGCAAAAGCCTATCATTGTGGAATGTCCATTCAACTTTTGAATCTGCTACCACAGAATTGGCTACTGTTAAGGTTCATTCCTGTTGCAGCTTTTGAAAATGCTCTTTCTCCTGTTACCATTTCAGGAGATGTCTAGCGAGGGGGGCGGGGGCTTTCCTCTCTCCTCCCCATCTTAAGTGATTGAGGAACAAAGACAAATAGTTCTCCTGGCCCTTTGGCCTCATTTTTTAAAATTACTGCCAGTATCAGTAGATCATTTAACCAGATCTACTGTTGAACTTAGAATAAAGTATTCTTCATTTACCAAATGTGTATCCTGCATATCAGGGATGAGGTGCAAACAAGGAAGGAAGTCGCCACACAAATGACGTGATGAAGGAGAGAACTTCAGTGAGGAGGAAATCCTGGGGGCGGGGCACGAGAGGGCGTTCTAAGAGATGCCAAGGACACATTGTGGGAAGAGGGGAATTTATGAGGGGTGAAAAGTGGGAGTTACATTCTGGGCAGAGAGACTCACAAGTGTGGTGGCACAGGGGCACGAAGGAGCTTGGCACAGGTCACGGGGCACTTGCTTTTGTGGGTGAGGCTGTGACTAGGTTTCCCTCTCCTAGTTCCCCTGCCCCTTCTTTCCACAAGCCCAGCCATGGCCAGGGGGTCCCCCAGCTGCCCCTGAACAGTGGGCCTCAGCCACTCAGAGGCTCAGTGTTGCCACACCCTCTCTGGATGCTCCTCCTCTTCGAATTCAGATCCTTTTCCTTAGTTCATCTCCCAGTTCTGGACCCCTGTTTCCGTGGTCCCACATTCCACCCACGTTTGATCTACAGATTTGGGGGTCTTCTTTCTCTGGGCTTTGGGCTTGTCTCCTGACAGATGGTGCCCTAGCTTGCTGTCCTAGTGCTGACAGATCAGCAGCCTTTGGTGAGGACCCTGCTGGCCTTTTAGGGTACATGTGGGTCTTTTGAGGTTTATTCTGAGGTACCTGGAATGTTCAACTAAGGTATTTGGACATTATTTCCTAGGAAGCCAGAGCTTTTCAAGGAGAGGGTTTCACACACCAGCTCTCATGCCTCGTAGGAGACAGGCTTTGTGATGCCAGGACATGAATGAAGGGAATTCCATTTCTCAGGTTAAAGTATGTGGCTTACTCCAATTATAGAAATGGGGTTCCAGCTATCCTGCACTGGCGGGACCTGCCAGTCCAAGCGCAGGCATGGTGTGGGTGAGACCCTCTTCCATCCCCTTAGGACCCCCCTCCACCACTCCACAGCACCCCTCCCACCCCACCCACCCAGTGAGAATTTCTGCCACATTCTGGGGACCCCCACATCCAGTCTTAGCCCAGACCTGGTGAGTGTGGGGGAGAGCTTCCTCTCCCCCCTACTCCACCTTGTCCCCTCCAGACTCAGCTCAGGCCTGGCATACAGGCCTAGGGTGAAACCTTGCAGGGCAATACCTACAGAGAGAGTAGGGGACAGAATCACCCAGCTAGTGCAGGAGCAGAACATCTTGCCAGAGGGGCACAACAGGTTCACTCCCAAGGGTAGCAGCAGGAAGGAGGTGAGCACAGCAGCCAGACTCAAGCCAGACACAACTGGATAAATCCAAACTTTGTAGATCTGCACCTGAATTTCAGTAGGTGCTAAGGTTATAACTGCACCAAAGCTCTACAACAAAGGTCAGAAGACAGTGCTACACAAAATGCCAACAAGAAGGAGCAAAATGCAATCTCAGAACCCAAGCCCACCCACAACAAATGCAGAGGACACTACCAGAGCAAATTGGGACTCACACAGCTGAAATCAATGAATCAACAGCTTCTGAAATAAAGAAACAACTGCAGAAAGGTATAGAGGAACTCAAATTAGAAATGAAAAAAGAAATCCCTGAATTAATAGCATCTGCAGTAAAGAATCAAATGCAGAAACATATGGAGGAAACCCAATGCCCACCCAGAACAAGTGCAGAGGACACTAGCTCAGCTCAAATGTATGAATTAATAGCGTCCATAGTAAATAAGCAACAGCAGAAAGTTATAGAGGAACTCAGAGTGCAATTCTTTTCTGAAATAAAAGAAGAATTCTCTGAATTCATAGCATCTGAAGTAAAGAATCAACTACAGAAACAGGGAGGAAACCCAATCTGAAAAAAGAAATGGGTTGCAAAATAACCTTCTGATATTTAAGGTGGAAAATTTCAAGTAATTTTAAAAGAAATTATTCATGGTTAAATTAATTGAAAAGACCTTATAGAAGATTAAGGCCCTTTCAAAGGACATTCTTTCTTATCTTCCCTGGTTAAGCAGACTGCGTCTCCTACCGTGACTGTAGAACTGTCATAGATTATTTTTTGTCTTATTCAACATTTCAGTATTTCTCTGTAATTGGGCATGTTCAACATTTGGTATTTTGTCAGCAGGAAGAGTAATTATCTACTCCTGGGTTTTAGGTAGCACCATGGAAGTCAGCAGCTTACTTTTTTCAGAGATAGATTTCTTAAACTAGCAAAGCACTGAGAGGTCCTTGCTTATAGGAACATGCACAACTACTCAAGATCCAGGATGGTAATATACAAGAGGGGAGACAGTTCCAGAAAATGAGATGCTTGACTGACTTTAGTGGCAGCCACAGGAGGTTTGTTTTTGTTGCTGAAGAAAAAATGCTGAGGCCAGATCCCATAACTTCTGTAGCCTTTGGCCCCCAAGGCGGGCAGATCCTGCACAGATGCAAAGAGCTGAGGAGCTCAGGCAGAGTGACATCATCCCCTCCAGATGCATTCTGAATTCTTCAAACAGTGTCTCCTCTGTTTGACTTTCTAAATCCTCCTGAGGACCTGGGCCAGCACAGCATCCTTAAGTTGTCCTGTACTCCAAAAACATTAGTTCTCTTTCCCTCTAAAATAGAAACTCTCTTTAGGGGCTGGTTCTCCTCTCAGTCAGGTGCAATAAGATTAAAGTGATTTATTGTGGCAGTAAAGCTGCAGTGACTCCAGATGAATCCTTGAGAGGGACACGTGCACTTTGAGAGAAACTGGTTCTTCAAAGTTCCTTGGAGATTGGTTTGGAGTTTAGCAGATTTGTCAGAGCAGGGACCTCTGTGTTGTTCCCTTATGTACCTAATGTCCTTTGGGGGATTCTCCAGGTAAGGAGATCAGCCTGGTTTAATTGCTTGGGGAGTGGCCACCTCTTCAGCAAGAACAGAGCCCTGCCTGAGGTCAGAACTAGTGGGCAATAAAGTATTGGGTCAGGCATTATAAAATTCCAAGTCCCAAGGCACAAGAAGTTATTGTGATAATGATGATTTATGCAATAGCTCAATGTGTATGAAACAACAAGGATAGAAGGATCTAAGAGGGGGAAGCATGGAGAAAACTGACTTTGAACTCAGAAGATCTGCATTTATCTCTCCACCTGCCAGTTATGAAGATGTTACTGGACAGAGCATGTGGCTTCTGTGAGCCTCAGAGTCACATCTGCAGTACAAGACAGCGTGCTCAGCGCTGTGTCCCTGACACCTGGAACAGTGCCTGGCACTTGGTTAGTGCTCAACATGTAATTACTGAATACATGAATGACTGAAGCCATAAAAAACAAATGCAAACTGGGCTATGGTGTACAACGTTAGACATCTTCACAGTATTTTCTCTTCTTCCAAAGTGAGAAAACAGATGATGGAAAAACATTGTTTTACGTTTGATAAATCCATAACAAGGCATTGGAAGGCAGAAAGGATAGATAAGCCAGATGCTTCCTGTGGGGATCATTCCTAGGCTGTGCCTCAAAGTGTCAGTCAGGAATAAAATTCTATGGCTCTGAGACAGGCCTTGGAAGCCCCTGCTGTGCTTTGTGTCATGAGCTTATTCCTTGGCCTTGACGGCTCCCTGTAGGTTCCATGTGGTCTTGTTGGCTTATCTGGCCTCTGGGAGGATCTCTTTAAAGTAGCTGAGCCAGCTTTCAATTTCTTGTTAACCGGCCACATGCTGCCTGCCTGAGGTCACTGGAAGCACTTTCCCATTTTGACCTAGCATTTTATATTCATGTCATACTACACCATAGTGGGCTGAGTGGCCAGGGCAAATTTTGAGCTGAGTGACTTTTCTGAAGGTCATTCTGAGAGTCATCCCTGGGGACAGAAATGTCTTGAATTTCTGGAATCCTCTCATGAGACTGTGTTCCATAATGGCCATCTACAGGACATTAGGGCATGCTATTTATATTGCCAGCTGGGCCTTATCCTGGATGGGTGGCTGGGTGGTTGACACCAGTTGGCTCTATGACCTTAACCAAATCATTTGATCTCTCTGGGCCATTAATTGGCATACATTTATTCAGGTGGCATTGGAGAAGCTGCCATCTGTGGTTCAAGTGTGGAAAAATGCCAGGGTAATTCTTTACCTAGCTGGAATTTTAAATGTGATTTTCAGCAAGGGTTGACAAGAAGTCAGAACATTTGGGAGCCACAGTGCTGATTTGGGGACATAGTATATAGGTACAAATGATCAAAGCTGAATGATACATATTCCCAAATCTGAAGTAAATATTCCTATTATTGTAATTTATCAGCAATACTTTTTATTGATGATATTGTAAGTTTCTTTATATACTTTTATCATTTAAAGTATTTACTCAATCTCAGAAAGTTCCCTTTTAATCACCTTAATGTCATCTTTTTATCAATCGAGAATGCTGACTTCCTTACAGACTTTGAAAACAAAAGTCCTTGTAACAGATTGGCTGCTTTAAATGGCATAGGCATCTTTTGTATTTATTTATTTTGAAAATAAGGTTAATAAGTAGAAAGGATAAATAAATTTATGGCACTTATTCTTAGAAAAGCACCAGACCATTTCCAGTTCCAATGATTAAACTGACACCCATATTCTAGTGATGAGTGGATTTGAAGTTGCATCCAATAGAGCATCCTAGGTTTTACCACCGTCGTCTTATACTTTGAATGCAGAAGAGTTTGATTATAGGTGGCATGAGCTTCCTGAGGTTGAAGTTGTAGGTCTGCAGACCTCATGACAAACACATGACACAGAAATAGCAAAATAGTTTTAGAGGCTGGAAGGGACCAGAAAGATCACTTTAGTTCAGATTAGAGCCAGAGAGGAGAAGCATGGGGTCCACTGAGCAAAGTCAGTGGCCTCTCTTCCTTCCTTCTTTCTTTCCTTCCTTCCTTCCTTCCTTCCTTCCTTCCTTCCTTCCTTCCTTCCTTCCTTCCTTCCTTCCTTTCTTTTCTGTACTTTAGGGAATGGTCTATAGGGTGTTCAGGGTCTCACTACTAGAACGGACTTGTAGTGATTCTATTTACAGCCTCCCAAGAGCTGGGTTTACAGGCACATGCCACCATGCCCAGCCTCAATCTCCATTTCAGTGCTCTCCGGGGGTGGGCCGGCTTGAACCCCCAGTCCCTGCGCCTGCTTGCAAGCGCTTTAATATGCTGTGCTATTTGGCCGGCCTAGTAGACTTTATTTATACATGAGTGATTTCATAAGCTTTCTTCATGCAAGATTAGCAGATGTGGTTTTTCATCTATAAGCGAAAAATGATTTAAATTTTGATTAACATGAGTACACAGTATAAACTAGGCGTAGTCATGGAAACTTAATCAACCATTGTTCTTTCTGTTCTATTTCTGCCCTACTGAAACTCAGCTCTTGGGGGTACTTTCTCACTGACTCAAGATCTTGACTCTAAACTTCCTTGTTATTGTTGAATATTCTTGGCTTAGGCTTGTCCCTTTCTGCAGGTTTACAAGGTAGGAGGCAAGAAGTGGATCTCTGTAAGAACTTTATGCATTTAATGAAGTGAAGTCCAAACTGTGGGTGATTGTGTGCTCTCTTTTATGTGAATCATAAGCCTAACAATTCCTAAGGGGGTTGTGGAGACACATCCATATGAAGCTCTGCTTTGCAGATTCTTGAAACTTGACATGACTTTGTCAGATGTCAAGCTCTGGATGGCTTTCCAAACACCAGCACCATACCCAGCCTGGTTCTCTGTCCCTCTGCTGCCAGACTCCCTTCCTGGACTCCTTGACTAAGTTCTCTCCTGGGGTCAGTGTGTTAAAGGAGACAGAGGAAGTAAAGCACCGAGCTTGCAGGAGTGGAATGCAGGTGCGCTGATGCGGAGCTTACTGCCGCATGATTTTTGAATGGTGGAGGACAGAGGTGGGTGCAGAGAGAGTGGGAAGTAGTATCTCATAAGTGAACATCTCCATGGTTTGGATGGATGGAAAAGAAAGCAGGGACCTCCTCTCCCAGGAGCTTCCTCTCTAGCACAGGCTCAGACAGCTTTGGCACAGATTGAACTAGTCCCACAGAAGAGCCTCAGCGCCCTGCGGAGCAGGTGGGGGAACCACACTGTCACTGCCTTTGCCCAACGCAGAGCCCTAGAGCTGAGAATGTGAGGACAAGCCTGCAGGCCATTGTCTGCCACTACTGTGTGGTGAGCGCCAGCCTTTGAGAAATGCTCTGGTGCTCTCTGTCCCTGTAGGACAGAGCTGGACACTGGCTTGCCAGGTGTGATGTGGCAGTGTTGTCAGACACCAGCAGCAGCCAGAGACAGGCAGGTCCAGATGTGCTGGGCACTTTCTCTCCCTGCCTTCCTCCCAGTCCCCCACTTTCCGATGGCCAGAATTGGTTTAGACAGTTGGAAGTTTTGCATCTATTCCTTTTTCATCTCCAGTGGTAGTAGAAAGGGAAAAGCATGGTCTCTTTCCCCAGTGCTCCACTGTGTCTTGGGAACTCTCTTTAGTAATGAAGGGCTGGGGAGGGCTTGGAGGGAATAGCCCAGCATGCTGTGTGCTCCCCAGCAGTTAGGACTGGGAGGGGGACTGATCCCCCATATACATGGTATGTATGTGATTCACCCGCAGAGGACAGCAGTGTCCCTGACACTCACCCTTAATCAGTTCCACTCCACCAGCTTGGGATGTGACGGTCTCATACCTTTGCCACTCAGGTTCAGTTAGTCTGGCTTCAGGGTCGCATGTTGTGATGGTGTCTTTCTTCTCTTGAGCCCTCTTTTCCATCATTACTTCAGGAGGCTAGCCTAGAGGCTCCTCTCATTGCCCGTGTCCTTCGCAGTGTCCTCACAGGAGGGTGGCATGGGTCCCTTGGGATCTTGCAGCGCTGCACCTTGTGCTTCAGCTTCTGCAGCGGTGCTGTTGCTACAAGCCCAAGGGCTTGGCTGGGCAGCGAGCATGATTGGTGCCCCGTCCTTGTCAGATGCTGGGCTTCCAGGCTGCTCTGGCTGCCCCAGGACCCACCTACCTTAGGGCTGAGAGTCAGCATCGCAGCTCAGTTCTGACCCACCTGAGAATCCTGGGAATGGACCAACGTGTGCCCATTTCAGAGAGAAAAAAAAATGTTCAGATCTGAGAAACTGGTCTCTACATGTGGGCTCCAAGGGGGTACATGTCCCCTCTGGGGACCTGAGATCGTTCGATGTCATCTGCCTTAATCTGTCCCCTCCTTGAGCCTGTAAACGATATTGTGAAGATTTTTCAATAAGACAGAGCCTCAAAAAGAGAAAGAGTCAGGCCTTTTATCTCAAATTGATGGTCCATTACACCCTTTCCCCAAGCACCGCATGTCTATTTGCCTTACTTTGGAACTGAAAAGCTTTTCTCCAATGATGCCTGAGGAGAGAGTCTGTTTTGGTGTCACCTTGCTGTGCATAGAAGGCCCTTAAGCTTATAAATAGCTGTTAGTTTGACTGAAATAGCTGCTAGCACATGTGGTGCGATTACGTTGGCATGTGTCACCCACTGCCCACCACCCACCTTCAACAAATGTTGGCTCAGGGGCATTTGTTGAGTAAAACGACAATCTGGGGAGCCCTTGGACTCTGAGTTCAGTCTAGCCTAAGTGGCTCTCTTTTTTTCCAGGTCCATATTCAAGCCTTTCATCTTTGTTGATGATGTAAAACTTGTTCCCAAAGCACAGTCCCCCTGTTTCGGGGATGAGGACCCTGCCAAAAAAGAGCCTCGTTTCCAGGAGAAACCAGACCGCCGGCATGAGCTGTACAAGGCCCATGAGTGGGCACGTGCTGTCATCGATCGTGACCAGGTACGCCTGGTGGGGCCTGTGTTGGCAGGTGAGATGAGTGAGGAAGGAGGTAGGGGAGCCCCCAGCAAGCTCCTCCCCTTCCCATCTAGCTTGAGCAGTCTGCTCTCAAGAGCTGGGTTCCCCAGACTCTTCCCAGAATGCTGCTGTCACTCTTCTTACTCATTCTTCTGAGTCCGAGTCAGGCAGAGCCTCTACTTAGGATCTGATTCTCATGCTCAGTGGGCAAAAAATGTTTCTCATTTACTGGAGATTTAGGAGTACTGAGGTATACAGTTCTAGTAGGGCTATCACTTAATGTGCTGTCTGAAATTCTCTGCATACTTTTGAAGGTAGAGAGGTGTATTGGATGGTACTGCTTTGTTTGAAGAGGCAATTGTATGTCGCTTCAAATGAGCAATTCTCCAAAGATATTCTGCAGATGGATTGTGGTGGTGGCTACACCAGTGTGACTGTGCTCAGTGCTACTGAGCACTGAGCTGTACATTGAAGAAACGGTTAAAATAATAAACTTTATGAAATATGTATATGTATATGCTTACCATAATACAAATATAGTTTTTAAAAAGATTCTTAAGTTCCTAGTATTTTTTTCCTTTCCAAGTAATTCTTCCAAGTGCCTCTCCCACCTCCAAAGCTTTGACTAATGAAGTTAAAAGGCAGCACTTCAAACATGAAAAACACCCAGGATGTGTTCCACCAGCACCAAATCAGTGCCTGGAGGAGTGAGGAATGTTCATTTAAGATCCAAGCCTGTATTTTGCTGTGGAGAGGAGGAAGGAACATAGTCGTTAGAATTCATCCATGTTCCCAATTTTTAATAGACCCAGTGTGACCTGAAGATAAACTCAGCTGTGTATTTCTGTGGCCTTGACAAGCTTATTTGCTTATATTTGGCACAGTGGTGTCTCTAAACAGGAAGCAAAAGAAGGGCAAGGCTAGCAGTAGACCCAGATGAATTTAGAAAGTGAGACCCAGTGGTAGGGTGTGGACCAAGTGGGAGGGGGTGGGCTGGGCTGTGGGCGGGAGGCCTGCGACCCCCGGGCTGTCAGTGTTCACTGTCACTACTGCTTGGCTGACCTGTGAGTGGCCGTGTCCTTCCTCAGGAGCAAGGCCGCACACTGAGGAAGACCATGTTGGAGCTGGAGAAGCAAGGCCTGGAAGCCATGGAGGAAATCCTGAGTAGCCCTGAGCCCCCGGACCCCGCCGAGGTGGGGGACCTTTTCTATGACTGCGTCGACACAGAGATTAAATTCTTTAAGTGAAGTAAGCATTCCTTCCCCCCTTCTTATTTAAAACTTCCCACCTGACTAAATTACCAGCAAAACAAACCACTCTCCTGTTTGAGTCAAATGAGAAAGTTACGACGTGGCCTCTTTTTCTGCAGCCCAATCCAACTGTTACCTTGGGTCTCTGAACATCCCCTTCTTTGCCATGGTCCCCTCCTTTGCTATGTAATGTGTATCCCCTTTCCCTGGTATTCAGTTGTGTGATGAATTGTGGATTGGAAGCCGCTAGTCTTTCATTTCAGTGACAGTGGACACAGTAGCCTCTCCTGGGAGAGCTAGAGCTCATTGAGCCTGAGAGGTAGGCTCACAGTGCCGAGCAGGCGGGAAAAGCAAGCTCTTTTGAAGTCTTAGTCTTTCAGTATGATTTTCTTCCAGGTTAACAAAAGGCATTTGTCCATACACAGGCTCCTGTGTGTGGAGTTGAGGGAGAGCTGCTTCCCTTCCTTTGAGCCTATGGCTGTGTGTAGCACAGTCTCCACAGGTGTCTCCTAGGGCCCTGCGAATGGGAAGGAATGAGAGGATCCTCCTCAGGTCCAGTCCATCCCAGTGCCCATGATCCTGAAGGATCCATCTTCTGTGTACTGAATCTAGGCCTGCTTCACAGGCAGGAGAACTGGACATGTGTGTTAGTTGGAACCCTTGGGTCTTAGAGATCCTGAGACACCATGCAGACAACCTCTCCAAATCCATGCATGGCTCTCCCGAAGGGCCTGGCTTCTGTCCCTTCTTGGCAGGGTGCTTGCCTCATGGATGCAGCTTTGTGTGGAAACGATCCAGGTCTAGTTGCTAACATCTAGCCTAGGATTCATGAAATGGCCCCATGGTAGAAGTCTGCCTCTCACAGCTGTGGCTTTTTTGGCTAACAAGAGAAAGAAAAGGAGAAACTCTTGACTGTTTAGATTGCAGTTAGAGTAGCTAGAAGCTGAACAACCACTGCTTCATCTCAGCAGAGTCTGTGCTTAAACTGATTTGTTCTCAATGTTGTGTATACCACCAGAGCATAGAAAAACATACAAGGAAGACCAGGTGGGACCTGGGAGGACAGAGGGCCACTAGGTGACAGATGGATGCAGAAGCATGTCCGTGCTGGTAAGAGTCCAGCCATGCCCTTCCTGCACAGCCTGTTGGATCCTATGAATTGGTGTATGCAGCCACTCGCCTCCTGGGTCGTTCCCTGGGCCCTAGGTGCTAGCTGAAGTGGGTAGAAGGCAGCGGGGGCTGAACTCCACTGAAGCTCTCAGCCACTCCTGAAATGGCCGAGGGCATCGCCAAATAGAGCAGCCAGTGGGAGAATGCCATTTGGGCCTAACTATGCTTTACTATCCTTGACAGGAATCTGCGAACAAAATATTGTGAGTATCTGTAGTCTTGGAAATGGCTTAGGGTTAGCAATTCCTTCCCAGAACAGAGTACTAGACCATGAGGGCTGGAAGGGGTCCCACCCTTCATCATATGGGTGTGAGCACAAAGGAGCAGAGATTTTATTGGAACAAACCCTTTCTTCCTACTCTTCCTCGACTCTTTGGCAAATTCTGCATGTAACTTCACTACGCATGGTGAGGTGGGAAGAAAATTTTAGGAGAAAAGCTAATGGCTGCCAGTCATGGTGCCTTGTAGTTGTGAGGGGTGTGCAGCTGCTAAGGAAGAAAGAAGGATATGGATACCCATCCACTTGCAGGCCCACCTGATGAGTGGCTGTGTGAAATGAGATGATGCGGAAAGCCATCCTGTGATTCATTGCATGGTCTCACCCTCCACCTGCCAGGAAACACTTCCTTGCCCCAGACATGTCTGGGCCAGCCATGGTGATTCTAGGAGTCTGGTGAGAGTACACTGCACAGAGGACTCCTTTCGTTGTTGTAGGCAGCCACAGATAACTCTGCCAGCTTGATGGCAATTCCCAGTGTGCGGTGGGGAACTCAGTGGCTACTTCCGTTAGGGGACACTGATCTCAATCAAGCATCGCAGAGAGGGCCCAGCACTACTTGAGAGTGATCTTGGCTGGCACTCAACATCACAACGCTGAGGTCCCTGCATCACCACTAGAGGGCAGGGCAGCCCTCCATGGCACAGCCTGGTGAAGGCTGACAGGAAATGGAGGTGGTACAACCAGAACCCAAATAATAGCCATAGTTGGGTTCTTTGTGCATTAGGATGGTTAGGGACACACATAAAGAGAGTAAGGATCACTGATGTGGATGTGCTCACTCTTAGTGACCTTTATCTTCTTTAAATTAACAGCTAGAAATACATACTTGGACTTTGAGTAGGCTGTTAAAGGGGATGGCTTATTTAAAATGTTCCTAACAAATAATGGTTTGGAAAAATGCACATTGCATGGATAATTCTTCACAAGGGATTGCTTTTCTGAAGGCAATATAGGAAATGAATATACAAGATGAAATCCGACAATGTTTAAAGGTCACTGTATGTAAATAGCTTCCTAGAATATCATTGGTGTGTCTATTAACATGGGGGGAGGGGGGCTGTGCATGCTTTGTGCGGAAAGTAATCATGGCCGTAAAGGGCAAGGTCTCTTCCTCACTTCTCCCCTGTGACCTAACATAAGCTAGTTAGTCTCATCTAGTAAACGGGATTCACCACAGGTGAAGACAGCCCTCCGACTCAGGGCAGACACCAGTGAAAGTAAATTAGCAAAGATAATATAGTACCCTTTCGTTCTTGGAGGTGACTTGAACCTTTAGGTAGAATAAGGACATAATCAAGATTATGGAGATTCTAGTGCTCAATAATATAAGAGCCAGTGTTATTATTAGTCTGCCTTACAAACTAACAGAGCAGGTATATGCCTATTAGATCTTAGCCATGAAGTTCTCTCACTATTGGTGAATCTTTAGGTAATTATTGACCAGGCAAATAACTTTGCCTCCTAACTGACATCATCCTACATTGGTACAGGTGACACACATTCCTGGGTGGCCCAGCAAGGAAGCCAGGTGGGACCAGTGTGTTGGTCATGACAACTCTTGCATTCTTGCCTGGAGAGCCATGCATCCTTTATTGGAAAGATTTTCATCTGAGCTCTCAGCTTCAGGAAGGAAACAGAAGGGAGGGGACCTCGTTCACTGGCCACCTGCTTGTGCATAGGCCTGGCAGGTGAGAGGCCCAGCTGTCCCAGCACAACCATATGCTTCCTGTAGCTGTGGCATTTCATCCTACTCAATCCAGAATCCTTGCTCCCCTCCTCTGGTGTGTGTCAAAATGTGCTTTGTCTGATTGATGCCAAATACCCCAAAATGTCATCTGCAGATTTCTTGTGGGAACCAATATGTCCATGTTTGCAATCATGTTGTGAGAATTCAAATGTGTTAGCTGGAAAACGCTACTGCCGGGGAAAATAAAATCTGTTTCCTGCAGTCAGAACTGACCATGTAGTCTTAACAGTCTTTTGTACAAACACATCTACAAGTCAGATAACGCCCCTATGCAGCGCTTGCCTTGGGATTGTCTCTAAATGCATCAAGCATACAATAAAAGATACTGAGATCAATGTGTTCTGTCTTGTGTTTCATGAAAAAATGCAGGCATCAGTCACAACATAGACAATAAATGAAAGGGGCTTGTTTTTCTGACTGGAAGTTTCATGAAACGCCATCATTCCGGCAATTTCTTGCATTAGGTACCTTTCATTGGATTAATTCACTCTATAACACACAACTACAACACGCTATCAACTCAGATCCATCAGGATAGGGCCTATTAAAAAAGTGGCAAGTGTGGTTGAGGATGTGGAGAGACTGGAACCTTTGTGGGGGCATAAAATGGTGCATCCATGGTGGAAAACAGTGCTCAAAAACCTGAAAATAGAGCTGCCGATGATGTGGCAGTTCTACTTCTGAGTATATACCCAGAAGACCTGAAGGCAGGGGCTGGAAGAAGCATTTGTCACAGGTTCACAACTGTATTATTCACAGTAGCTAGTGGGGGGAAGCAAGTGTACACAGGCGGATGGGCAAACAAACAATGCAGCACGCCCATGCCGTGGACTGTTATTCAGTCTTAATGCTTACAACATGTGTGAACATGCAGAACATTAGTCTAAGCAAAATAAACTCATCACAGGAGGGTATCACACTTATGTGAAGTACTTGAGTACTCAGACTTATGGAAACAGCAAGTAGAAGAGTGGCTGCCAGGGGCTGGGAGGAGGGGCGATAGAATTGTTTGGCAGCTACTGAGTTTCATCCTTTTTTTTTAATTTTAATTTTATTGAGAAACAAATATGAATGAGACAGTTTCAAAGCTGATTGATAGGACAATTTTGATAATCAATACACTGTACATTGTTATCTTCTTAGTGGTTATCCATAGTACAAGAAGCAGACAGGATATCCTGGCCAATCACTCTTAGTACACCTCTTCTCATTGAATTAAGTGAAAGTAACTGTATATCTATCCTAACTATTTTGTATATATAAATACAAAATAATCTTTCCTTTGTATCCCCCTTTTTTTGTTTAGTCCTGTCAGAGGTGGGTATTCTATTGGCATCTAAATACTATAGGTGTTTGAATTCAGCAAAACAATCCAACACTGTCTGAGTTTAGTTCTTCAAGATGGCAAGAGTTGTGGCCAGGATGGTGGTGAGGGCTGCACAGTCATGTAGATGTACTTAACACTGCCCAGCACGAACTGTGTTCTGTGTTCTGTGTATTCTACTATAATTTTTTTTAAATTTTTTTTTGGTGGAACCGGGGATTGAACTCAGGCCCTTGTGCTTGCCAGGGAAACATTTATTCCATTAAGCCATCTCCCCGGCCCCTCTACTATAATTTTTTAAAGAAGGAAAAAGAATACTAGGTTATCGGATGGTTTATTCTAAATGCTTAACAACTCCACAAGAGAAGGATACCACGTATTTAAAAAAATAACACCAAAAACCAAAAAAAATCTCTCTTCACTCTCATGCGGCGAGAACATAACTGCTCTGATCAGAACAACAGGGTTAGTCCCCTGCAATGAGTGGAATTACCAGGGTCCGTCTAGATGGTGGCTTCCTGCGCAAGATAAGGAAGTACAAATTCTTTACACTTTATCCTTGGCTTGCTTTTAATAAAAAATAAAACACCAAAGAAAAGTTCCAAGGTGACAGATTGTGCACGTGGTTGTTAGTACCGCTGTAGCACAGTACCACACACCGAGTGGTGTAACCAGGAAAAATACATCCCAGCTGTGGATCCAGGAGGCTGAGATCACCGCGTCTGCAGGGTTGATTCCTTCCAAGGGCTGGGAGAGAATCTTTTCCAAGCCCCTTGCCCAGCTTCTGTTTGCTGGAAATCTTTGGCACCACCCCAGTCTCTGCCTTCCTCTCTGCACTACATCCTCTCTGTGCATCTGCCTATGCTCAAGGTGCCCCCTCCTTTAATAAGAACACCAGTCCTATTTGTATAGGGCCTGTGCTGCAATGAGTGGACCTATCAGGGTCCATCTAGATGGTGACTTCCTCTCCTCGCATGTGAGTGAAGAGATGATGACCCCATTTTGATTGATTATATTTGCTATGACCTCATCTCCAAGTAAGGTCATGCCCTGAGGTGCTGAAGATGAGGACTTAAGTATATGAATTTTAGGGGGACACAATTCATCGCAACACAGGATGGGCTCCTGAAGGAGGCAGAAACTTCTAGAGGGTCGTCGGAGAATTTGGAACTTGGTCTTGGCATCTGCAGTCCTTCCTGCTGTGAAATTGTTCCCCTCAGTCCTCTGGGAACCACCTCTCCCATTCTTAACTCCGTAAGGGGTGCTTACAATTACGGCTCCTTCACCTCCCACAATAACCAATGACTCTGAAGTTCATCATCTACTTTGCAGAACATCTGGGGCCCTTGCTTTTCTTTCCCACCCAGACAGGCTCTTTTAGTCATTAAACAGTTTCTCTCTACTTCTACCAGCATGAGACAGGCAGCTTAAGCCAGCCCCTTAACTCCTTGTGATGCTGAATGTAGTAGCTAGCTGTAACACTGGTTTCGAATTTTGATTCTCCTTCTTGCCTTGTTACCCAACAGCACCGCTAGTGAAGTGTGGGCCGAGTGGCTCAGCAAACATTGTCAGTGGACCTCCTGGGATGCAGCCAGCAGAGCTGTGTCTGTGCCCGGGCATAAGCTAGGTAAACTGATTGCGTGTGAGTGTCAGGTGTGTCCTCACCTGGCTCTGATGTGACCGAAGAGCCCAGGGCTTGCTTGGATACACAATGGTGTTTCCATTGGGCCAGCGAACAAACTGAGGCTCAGACTCACTTTCCCAAAGATTCAGGTCTGTGTTTGCCTTCCAAACTCACACATAGTCTCTCCTGTATCAGCTTCCAGCAGCCAGTTAGAACACTGCAATGGATGCTCAATTGGTTTAGCTTCACACAGAGTTTTTGAGAGGTTTGCGAAATGGAGGGAGGGGACTAAGGATACTTTAAGTGGCAGGCTGTTCCACTGTAACACAAGTTGGCGGAATTTAGGAGCAATACACTCTGCTTAGTCTGCAATAATAAAGCTAAATACATATAGTGCTATTTACCTTTTCAAATGGATCTGTAAACAATTTTAATTTTCTTGTTTGATTTTTCCAAACATTCATGAAATTAGCTCAAAAGAGAAAGGCCTGGTTTCTAACACAGC